GTTTCGAAGATGGTCGTCGATATAGATTACAGAGGAAAAAGACACGTGCACCAACAGTAATTTCATGCAAAATACCCATAGCCTCTCGAGAAGTTGCAATTAAACAATGTGGTAAATCATGCCGTTGTATGTACGTTACAACGCCTTGAGAATTCTGTGCAAAATCATTTCTATACAAAAGAAAATGCGGAACTGAAATTTCTTGATCCAAAATACTACTATCTGTAAAACTTTCTTGTATTGCAATAATCATAGGTTTTTCGATTAATGCACAAGATTTTAGCTCCTCAATGTAGTTTGGCAAACTTTGAATATTATGTGAAAGTATTTTAAACGATTAACTACTGCAGGAGAGGAGCCACTAATATTTTCACCGCTCTTCACACTCACGCAGTCCAAACGCGCTTCTGGTCGTCATAAATACAAAAAATGAGAAAAAGTCTAATACATCGTTTGACATCCAGAAAAATTTGGATGCAACTTGTCATACAACATACCTCGTTCGAAGTACAGTCTTAAAAATTCAACATTTCGTTTTCCACATAAAGATTTTAATTGTTGATTATATTCAGCAATCTTCTCAAAACCTCCTTGATGTAATGGACGTGCTACCAATGGAAATGGAACTGCTACCATACATATTCTTAAGTTTGAATTAACAGATTTAATGGTTTCAATCAATTTTTCTGTTCCATTTAATACATTGATTGACTGGAAAATTGCTGAACGAATTTGTACCGCATACATACATGACTGTGTCTGATGATTGTAGCAGAGTTTTGTATTTCGTATTTACTTTTTCATCTAGATTTTTCAAATCTTCCCTCTGATGTGTTCTAATTTTTGTCATATAACTGCTATCACTCAACTGTCGTGAATCAAGATCTTTCAGTAAACTGTCTCCGATAATAGCAGACGTTTTGATAATAGAATTCACTGACGGCAATGGTTGCAGCTGTCCATTCTTGATTTTAATGGGTGTAGATGACGGATTTTGAGACTGAGATGGCATAGGTTGAGTGGAAGAGTCGTTCATATCATGCAGATTGAAGGAAGGTGCAGTTGGGTCCAGACTTTTCAAACTTTTCGTTTGTTTTTTCTCTTCTGTAGAAGATGTTAAAAATGACAGAATAGACGCATTTTGTTCGACGATTTTATCATTTTGTGTGAGAATACGATTAATGAAATCTAATTTAATAGAAGCATGAAGTTTGTCATTACTATTTCTATCTGTAATACATAAATTATCATTTTGTAGAAGACCTCAAATGTCAGAAACCTGACTGGAAGATATCGCGAAACTAAGTGCGTGGCAATTGGCCATGCTCTGGCTTAGATCATCGAATTATTCATACTACCAGTAAAAAATAATTCGACATATACAAAAATAGTTGATTTAACAATTAATTACTTCTGTCATCGTCTCTCACGA